CCTTATCTTTATCAAATATTACACTAAATGTGGGATGGTGCGTTTTTAACCTGTTTCATATCAAGTCAAACGTGCGACAATGAGTAAAAACAAGAAAATGAATAAAATAAAGTCCAAAGGGTAATATTGTAATAGGATGAAATGATGTTGTTCATAAAATAAAATTTGGACAAAAAAATGTGTGAAATAGGGGCATTGAATGTTGATGTTGGCCCGTGGGGTACGTTTATAATGTCTGTTGTCCCTACTTTTTTTTAAAAAATTAAATATATCACCAATTAATTTAATTAAGTACAATAAAAAATTATAATAAATTTATAATTTTTAATGCTGCATTAATTTTTCAGTTTGTCCATCGAAAATTACCCTTTCGTTTTCATACCCCTCCTACATTGTTAATAAACGGAGTAAATTATAATCTTGGTTCTTGTGGTTTATGTATTTTAACACTCTGGGTCCCTATTTTAAAATATCTATAGATTGTATACTTGTGGTTTGTATTTTATCATGTTCTGAATCTAACTTCATCCAAAAATTGACGTTAGATAAGTTAAATCAAAGGGGTAGTTTAGTCATTTAACTTGTTTTTATTGAGTCCCCACCTCTAACCCTTTTAATCTAAAAATCAAAACATAATTTAATCCAAATGTTTAACCCAATAAATTTAGTTCATATAAAAAATCAAAACCTCAAAAATTAATACCCAAATCAACAATGGTATCTCAAAAATCAAAAAATTCAGATCTAGTGTGTTTAACAAAAAGAGGTCAACTGAATCTAGGGTTTGTTGATCTTCACTTGAAGTTAGATCCAGAGAAAAAAAAGGGAAAATAAGCAGCTGAAGTTGTGGCAAACTCCAAGGACCGTCTTCGTCTTATCTCACTCGCTAGATCAGGGACCGTCTTCGTCTTCGTTGCTCGCTAGATGTCACACCCCGCCTAGGCGGAAACGCGAAGTGTGACGGAGAGGATTGCCATAACACAATGATATGATAATAGAGAACTCACTAAATGAATACTAATCCAAGAGTCATGACGTCTCTTCCTCGTCACAAGTGGAGACTTGTACCGTGGTTAGACAATTTCATGGCATCACATAGTCAACAAAATTTCAAACAAAAGTACTTAGCCACAAGCAAAAAAACCACGCGGGGAATCTCTTAGGTCTCTCTAAGGTCCATAAGCAACCCTAGCACTCTTAGCCATTTTGATGAGTATTACCTGAAAATGAATACTCGAAAACGTCAACATAATGTTGGTGAGCTCGTAGGTTTAAATAACAAAAGAGGATTTGCTGTGTATCGAGAGCGTTTAGGACAACAGTGTGTATACATATATCGCAATTCAGCACTAATACATAGGAATAATTGTATAACCAATTTAATCATACAACAAGAACATGATAGGTTTCCAAACATGTCATCTACCAGCTGGAGCTAAACCGTTGGCTTAATAGAAATATAGGAATCACATCTCATATAGGAATCAAACACTAGTACTTTCATTGCAATAGTAAACACACAAATTGTCCAAATAAATAAAAGAAAAGGGTTCAACACAACTTAAAAACAGTTAAATAGCTTTTGAGTATCATTCCCCCCCCCCCCTCAAAAGAAGTATATAAGTAAAAGGGGCCACGAAACTCACCTGTGAGTGGATGGTATTAAGTATACGAGAGGTCAAGCAAGTAATCTACAATTAAACAAGGGTGTGTGTGAGCTACACATGGCCATGGCTTAAAACCTTACCATTGTAATATCGTAATCGATGGAATATACATGATCGGCCTGGTATTTTTAAATGACAATTTTACCAAGCGTCGTAAAACTATAAGTCAATTAGCTGTGGGTAGTCATCTCGACCTAAGTATCGATGGTTTGTCCAAGTTTTATAAGTTTGGTTTCTTAACCAAAATTTTAGGTTACTTCAAGAATTTTTCCTATACCTTAAATGAATTAGATAAGGTTCCAAAATTTAATGGTAGAGACTTCCGAGTCTTAGGTATTTTTCAGAAATTTTTCTTAATTTTAATTAATGTTTTACTAATTTTAAAAATAACATAAAAGTACAAGTCAGTAAATCGTTCTGTTTTGCGCAACAGAAAGTTATATACAAAATAAAATGCTTAAAGACCTCCAAAAATTCTGAAATTTTTACAGAGACTAATAGACATATTGAACTCAATCCAGAAAAGTTTTACCAAAGAATTCAAAAAAAAATGAGGGAGTTGTGAGACCCCCAAAACGTCCTAGATTCTGTCCAAAAATTCCAGCTTTGCGACCCTGAACGGTAAAGGCTTTTTGACCAAGTTAATTTTGTTGTTTTGACACGAAACCATTTGGAACAGAAAGTAGACTCATTGAACTTGAACCTAGACCCACAATTCGTATTTTAACTCCATGTTATGACTGAGATACGGCCTCTCCAAGTCAACACATTTTCTGCCCAAATTCTGGAATGGATCAAGCGACATTGTTTTTACTAAATAACCACATCAAGGACTCTATTATTAGCCAAGACTCATTAAAACTTATTCTTTTATAAAATCTAAATATTTTTAATCAAAAATATATTCCACCCATTAGAGTTACATTAACAATCGAATGAAAATCATAAAGACGATAGAAAGACAAACAAGGTGAAGGGTTTTGCCAACTCAACGATTTGTGATGAAGATATCACTTGTAGGCTTCAAGTACCCTTCATGGATCATTAGAAAAAATAGAAGAAAATTAGATTTCTTATGGATTTAGAGAAGAACTTATAGAAGGAAAAAAAAACGTTGGACGCTTAACAAAGGCTTCGTTTAGGAATCAAAGAAACTTGTTTCTTGCAAGTTTGAAGAACAAAACTTTGAATAACTTGATGGTGATGATGATTCTTGACCAAGCAAAAGGGAAAAAGAAATAGAGAATGTTGTGTTTTGTTTTTCTCAGGAATGAGAGTAATTAGGGTTTAGGAGGAGATAAAGAAGTATTGGAGATTATCAACAACTAACTACTATATTTAAATTTTGAAAAAAAAGGAAAAAAAAAAAAAAAGATGGGATAAACTCCCTTACGTTTTCTTCCATGGATAATTATACATAAATATATTATTTAATTTATTTAAAACTACTTGATTTATTTCTTTATATGATAAGCTCCTTTGATAATATTAGTTTTTTTTAAACAACCTAACTAGTTAACATTATTAACTCAATTCATTTACTTAAGGCTTTTAGTCACCGGTACTATGCACATAAAACATTTGTATAGACCAATTATGTACTCGGGAAAAGAAATTCAACTTAGGAATTATGATCACTTAGCTTTCCTCTACTATTAGAATGACTAAAGTATTTAAGGGGAAAAAAATGAACCCACCCAACTCCTAAAATTTCACACCTTATGTTTCAGGAAGCATGTGAGCACATAAATTTACTAAAAGGGCTAACGTTAGGTTTCGAGTTACGGTTGACTAACTTGGTTTGGTGACGGATGTCACACTAGATCTGGGTTATAGAGATGAGCGGTCCCTTTCCCCAAATTTGTAAAAAATCTTAAATCAAACCAAAAACCCCCATAGGAGTATAGATGGATTAGGAGGAAACCGGGGTAGTAGGTCGCAAATCTGGTCTCGATGAAGCATTCTCGCTCAAATCTGGTCTCAAAGAAATTGGTGTAGTAGATGAATGGCGGTTCTTCGCAACAATGGGAAGGGGAAGGGGATCCAATGAGAGGAGGGGTGAAAGAAGTGGGGGAAGAAGAAGATTACATGTTTGGCCCTATCATTTTTAATAGAAAATGGAAAAAAAAAAAAGAAATAGAATGACTAAAATGCCCCTGTAGTTAACCTATTTAACAGAAAAATTTTAACAGAGTTAAAAGTAGGAACCCAGTGCGTTATAAAATTTAAACAACAAGAACGTAATCCATAGATATTTCAAAATAGGGACATATAGTGTCAAAACACATAAACCATAGGGACCAAAAATATAATTTACTCTATTAAATATATTTTTTATTTTAATTATACCTCGTTTACATTTTATGAAATTATTTTATTTAATCAGAGAGCATTTACAACACTTAATGGATAGCTTAAAAGTCACTTTTATATCAAAGAGAACCACTATGCTCCCGTACAATTACATAAATGATATACATGTGACTCGTTAATCAATAATTTTGTAATGTACCTTGAGTAAATTGATATACCGATCAATAATTTCTAATTCAACTTAAAACATAGCATAAATTGTTGGTAGTATAAAACTGTGAGTTTATAAAAAAGCTTATCAATCTAGTTTTCTATTCATGTGGAACAAGTTGTTATAAACTTTCCAACTTAAATTCATGACGTCCTACCCAGGCCCTCCGAGAAATCCTCACTGTAATCAACGATGTGGGATCCGTCTAAGATGTCACAGACACCCTCCTTAATTCTGATAGCATTTGTTTTAGTTAAACACAACCTAGAAAAAAGAGGTTAAATTATTTTGGAAGGAAAGTTTTATAAGAAAAATTAGTCTGATTTTCCTCCTAAAAAAATTCAAGAACACAAACTTTTTCCTTTCCTCCTTCTTTCTTTTCTCTTTGTTTTTTTTATCGTAAAAATGACTCGAGAACAGAGTCTTAGTGTAACAATTGTTTTTTCTTAATTAATTAGATAAATTTTTTATAATTTTCTATTTAATTTAATACAATTTCAAAAAAAAATTCTAATCAATATAATAAAGTTTTAAAATTTTTTGAGTTACAAACAAAAAGGGTAAAGATTTTAAGCGAGATTTATGTGGTTGTTTGTTTGGTTTCAATAAAAAGGAGATGGTTACAAACCTGAAATGACCCAAGTGAAAAAAGGTGCCAAAACAATTGAATTTGGTGGTTGAGTATTCATGAATTTTCCCCAACACCTACATCCACTGTCATCTCTCAAATTCCAACTGCTTTCTATAAATTACAGTGCCATGGATCCATCCTACGTTATTACTACTACTAACGGATACAGTCCCCCAAAATGGAAACCAATTTGGAAGCAGATTTCAAGGAATTGAGGCAAGTTTTCAATTCCGGAAAAACAAAGGAATCATCATGGAGGATTTCGCAACTCCATGGTTTACTGCATATCCTTGAAGACAGAGAAGATGACATTTCCATGGCTCTCAAGCAAGATCTAGGTAAGCATCATGTTGAAGCCTATCGAGACGAGGTAATTTTACACCTATTGTTGTTCGTTTTTCTTGTTTAATTCCTCAATCGAGACGAACTCATTTACTTTGAATCATAACCTAATTTTCTCGTCATAATACGAACGAAGAACAAAGGAAATTGATTCAACTGTAGTTTTCTCATTATAATACGAACGATTTGTTTAAAACTGTTATGAATCATGAGTTTGAATCATGGATGAGCGTTAATGTTCTTCGTATATTTTCCTTCCACGCATGCATGTATGTATGTGTGTGTTTATTAGCGAAATTAGGATCACAGTGATGCTAACAAGTTTGTGCAGATTGGAACAGTGGTGAAATCTGTTAATTATGCTCTGAAAAACTTGAATCAATGGATGGCTGGCAAAAAGGTAACTTCCTCATTCCAAGTTCACTATGGATCATGTTTCTACTTTGATCTATCTACAAGATCATTCTTATACAATAATGAGTTTAACTGGTAGGTTCAAATAAAAAGATTAATTATCGTTAGAAGTTACTTTCATGTGTGAATCAATGAAAAATTTAATTTGAAGATTCATATGTGAACTTATATAAATAATCTATAACAACGGTTCACATATGCTTCCATATTTTTTTTAATGATTCACATATAATATCTTTTAACCTTCAATTTACTATCTTTTTATGATATTTAATCTTCTTATTTGAACTGACACCATTAGTTGAATTAGTTCTTAATACATTTTGTATTTTTTATTGTTACTTTTAATTATGTACTTATTTTATTTTATATAAATTAATTTAAAATATAATACAATATATATTTTAATCAAAATTGAGGTATGGGTCCAATTTCATAACAAAATGTAAATCATATGATTGTTTCTTGTAATTATTTAATATGTACAAATTTTTTTATTAGTTTAATATATCAAAAAATCTAATTACTTTAATTATGTATTCATTTTAGAATTTATTTATTAATTATATAATAAATAAAACTGATTGAATATGTTTATTATAAATTTAAATTCAATTAAAGACGAAAAGCCTTTGAAAAAACATGTTGTGTAATTACGGTGTCCAGGATGCTCCAAAGAAGTCTCATGTAAAACATCTCATGATGTTGAAAAGCCTAAAAAAGTGAGGTTTTTCACTTTAAAAGACTTTCCAAAAACCTATTAAAAACCATATTATGAATGTTCTACGGACAATAAGTCGGAAACTCTTTCACATCCACTGTCTTTGAAAATCCATGAAATTGTGAACCACATTGATAATTTCAATCAATTTTTTATTTAATTAATATAATACAATCACTCCATTGTTTTCTGATATATTTTTTAAACTTTATGGAAGAAGATTTGAATTTTCTAAATGAAGTGTATCTCTTTTTCACGATGTGTATATATACTGACCCAACCATGTGTATATATCGGGTATAACGCTCACCAGATGTGTGAAGTCTAGGGACAGACCCATAATTCTTTTCAGTCGGTGAAACCGTTCGACTATAAGAAACAAATATAATAATATTTTTTTTACAGAATCGTCATTGATCTGTTGGTTAGTTCATTGTTTTTCATATGTAATGTTTAATTATTATATTGGCAATTTTTTTTTCCAAAAACATAATAAATCTAAAATTAAAAGTTAAAAACAAAGAAAATGATACTAACAAGATTCGAACTTGGACCTGGGGTGAAGAAAAAAAGATTTACAAACCAACTCTACTATGAGAAACTTGTATCTTTATTATAATTTTAAAATATATATGGTGACATACAACAAATTGATACGATAACACTTTTCACGACTTTATATTTTTTTATACTACGACAGATGAATGATACAATGGCACGTGCCACCACATAAATGCCCTGCCCTAGGTCCGTCCCTGGTGAAGTCTCATTGACTACTAACAAGCTTACGTGTTCAAATTGTTACATAACAAATAGTTAAAGGACCATTTGTGTAATTTACTTCATCTGTCTTTTCTTTATGACCCCCGAGTAAAGGTTCATAAATTTGTGTCCAAAAATAGGAAAGTGCAATGATTGAATGTGTTTGAGGGTAAAATAGTAATCTTGATCATGTTAACAAATAAATAACAGGCAAGCTTGCCCCTGGCTGCATTCCCCAGCACAGCAGAGTTGTTACCTGAGCCTTTGGGTGTTGTTCTCATCATCTCATCTTGGAATTTCCCATTTGGTACTTTAACTACCCCTCAAATTTAATAATTTATTACAAGTTGACGTTTTTTTACAGAAACAGTCTCTCTATCCTTTGCAGTAGGTGAATGGTCTGTATCTATCTGACCTTTAAATCTTAGAGTATCTTTAATAGATTCTCCAAATCCTTTCTCTAAAATGGAGGATTTGTTGGAGTTGAGTGTATTTTTGCTTTAGAGATTTTCAAGTTCCATTCTCTATTTTTTGAGAATCTATTGGAGATGCTCTTACATCGATGTGAGATTTACTGGGTTTATTTTGTTTGGTTTTTAAGGCATATCAAATTGAAATTTTGAAACTCTGTGTAATGTGTCATAAAACTTTAGATATAATTTCATATGTTTGAATTCGTTGCACACATGTAGGCTTATCGTTGGAACCGATGATCGGGGCGATAGCTGCAGGGAATGCAATAGTTCTAAAGCCTTCGGAGCTAGCTCCTTCGTGTTCTTCATTTCTTGCTGAAACAATTCGTGATTACCTTGATAATTCTGCGATTAAGGTTATTGAAGGTGGATCGGCTACAGGGGAAAGACTCCTTGAACACAAATTCGACAAAATTTTCTTCACAGGTTCAAACTTTTTTCAACTTCTTATATATCTATACTTTACGATTCAATGTCGGATCCATAATTGCGTTCATTTATACATTTCATTAGCATCTAATTTTTGTAATCAAGAGAGGTGGTTAAAAATATTAGCATATGTTGGCGACTTTTAGCATCATCAAGCAATTTTCGTTTAATTGTGATCTGTAAAAGATTAATTAGGTGAAAAGACATAACATGAAGTGGGAGGGGTAGAGTGCATACTCACAAATGCCGTTTCTATCATATTAGATCGCCATAAGGCTGAGGTCAAGGGGTTGCACCCCCTTGCGTGGTCGGGACCGCAGCGCCCTAGCGGCGTTTTAGAAATTTGGTGTTTCTAGAGACTAAGTATGGAATCAAAAACTTGTAACTGGAATCAGAAGTCTTTAAGTCTGCATCAAAAACTTATTACTGAACAGTCTTCTGAATTAGAGATTCTGAACCTTCTGACCCAGTGTTTCTGTTCATTCAGATATAATGTTTAACTGTCTGTAACCATCAATCTCTCATATAAATATACAAAACATGGAATTTTGGTGTAAAATAGATCTTGACATTACATCTTTTAGAAATTAGAACAATCGTTTAGTTATCCTAATACTCAGTTCGTGATACCTAAGGTATATAAAATTGAATCAACGTATTTGAAAAGCAAAGTACACGCAATTTAATTAATTTATTCGATCTTTTCTGATAAGTAACACTGGGTATCTAACGGTATAAAATTATAAATTAAATCGTTTTCTTAAAAAAATAAAAATTTGTAAATTTATTTATTTCTTGATGCCCATGTGATCTCTATTCCATCATTCAATACTTGGTGTCCCTCTAATTATGTGTTTACTTATTGGAATAGGCTTTCTGTATTTGGCCCCTATATATTTTTAATGTTAGAAGACCTACAAATCAAATGGAACACACAACAGATTAGGATGAAGTATTAATTACTCTTTTTAGTATATATTTTTTTTAAGTATATAACATTTATATACGGCAAATGTAACAAATAAACTTACATAACCTCCTCATTTTTGTAAGTCAAAGGCTATAATACTGTTAGGTCAAAAGCTATGATACTGGTAGGTCAAAGGCCCCTAATCTAGGTTTAATAAAAGAACAAATCTTCATGAAATTGTAGAAGATAAAAAGAAAATCTGAAACATGACAAAGACTGATTGAAGAAAAAGTTCATTTTTTTGTATAACCAGATAGGTGGAATAAAGTTTGGTAGATTAAGAGCTATCTCCAACTGATTCTCTATAATTTCTCTAAAAATATAGAACTAAAAGTCAAAATATCTAAAAGAATTACATTTAACTCCAACGGATTCTATATTTTAGAGACTTTAACATAGATTATATTATTAAAATAATTTATAACTTTATCATACCAATACACATTTTGAAAAGAATTTATAAAATAATAATTTAATCGCATTGGTGGGTATGAATAAGAAAATTATTCTATCTTCACACGTCAAATTTTAGAGAACTGTTCTTGAAGCTTTTCTAGTTTTCTCTGTTTTAGATTTACAATATAGAGAATTTGTTGAGCAAAATAGAGAACAAAAACCGCATTTTCTTTATTTTAAAGAATTTGTCGGAGATGCTCTTGCTAAACTGCTTATGTCAAATTAAAACTCTAAAACTTTTAGAATTCTTTCATTTGCTTCTCCTAGACTTGCTCATTGGGTCCGATCTAGTTCGATCAAGCCTGTCTTCTTCTTTCGAGTAGCAAAAACGAATACCCAAAAAAACATATCAATTTAACAAAAATATCCCCTTTGAAAACCCTAATTGCAAAAATAACACCAAAAACAATATTTTATGACATTTTAATTTATAATCAGAAAATTAATAGAAATAGCTATTTTTAAGCTTTGAAATCATCTTCTAGTCATTTCTTTTCTCAAATTTCAATAGTATCAATACCTCCGTAAGTGACACATTCTCAATTTGAGGAGGGGTCAAAATGTAAAAGTAATTTATGAACATGATCCACAAGTACAAAGGCTAAATCTGTAAATTAGATAAAGTTTCGAAAGTGGCACTTCTGTTACTTGTGGAAGTGTTGGGACTTTTGTATTTACGAACCATGTTCAGAAACCTTTTTTTTATACTTTGATCCCTCCACAAGTTGAGGAGTTGCTACTTGCGAAGATAGAGATATTTTTAAAATATTAAAAGAAATATAGTTAAAAATGAATACAAAACCAAACCTGAGAATCACACTATTTGAATTAATTTATACTTCTAATCTTGGTGTTGTAATTCACAGGGAGTACACGAGTGGGTAGAAGTGTGATGGCAGCTGCTGCACAGCATTTAACCCCAGTGACATTGGAATTGGGTGGAAAATGCCCAGCTGTGGTTGATTCCTTGTCTGTTTCTGGGGACGCTAACGTAATTTCCATTTTAGTTTGACGAAAAAATATATTCTTGGGAAAGGTACAAAAGAAAACATCTTTATTTTACGAAAACGTCAGAATATTTAATCAAAAACACGGATGACTTTTGGTGCATCCTAGGTTGAGGCCAAGTCGCCCGCACACTACTAGGCCTCATCACATGTGATAAGGGTAATCTTGATGATACTATAATTTATCACATGTGATACTAAATTAGAGACGTGGGGGATCTTTGGCACGACCTAGATTGTGGGCCAAGTCGGTCGCACACCTCCGGATCCCTCTTGTGTATTATATTCACATGTAATAAGGGTGTTCATCACATGTGATACCAAATTAAAGACACAAAAAATCTTCGGCATGACTCGGATCATGGGCCTAGTAGTCCACATACCACCAGGATCCTCATGTGTATTATCACATATAATAAGAGTGTTCTTGATGTGATACTACAATCCTTCACATGTGATACTAAATCAGATATCCGCACACCAATGGTTCCCTTATGTGTATAATCAATCACATGTGATAAGGGTGTTCTCTCGTTTTCGTAAAACGAAGGTGTTTTCGTTTGAACCTCCAACCTCTTTCGTTATTTTTGCAAACCGATGATTGAATGTTCAAATTATAGGTGGCGGCAAAAAGAATTGTTTGGGGTAAATTTGGAGCGTGTGCCGGACAAGCTTGTATCGGAATTGATTATATTCTTACAGAAAAAAAATACGCATCAAATCTGGTAAAAGAATAATTTCATATTGAAATTAAGAAAAAATTGTTATGAATTAGTTTTTTACAATAATTTAGAGCATGGTTATTTTTGTTTAGGTGGAACTATTGAAAAAATATGTCACACAATTTTATGGAGATGGTCCAAAAGGATCTCATAGCATGTCCAACATAATCAACAAGAAGCATTTCTCAAGATTGAAGAGTCTCTTAGATGAACCCAGGGTCAAATCTTCAATCGTTCATGGTGGTTTGTTGGATGAAGAGAGCTTGTAAGTTCGATCTTTTTTCAAATTCCGTCTATACGGTGTTCTTAGACATTAAAAGCCTTCAAATGCATATTTTAAAACGTAATTATTAAACCACGAGGGTTTGTGGTATAGTGGTTGGGACCCAAGGGAGATATGGTGGAATATCTCATCTGCCATCGGTTCAGTTCTAGGTGTACACGACAATTGTGGTTATTGAGTTTATTTGTCTTACAGTCATAATTTGTTGGGATTAGTCCATGCATAGCTGAGACACATTTCCGGTTGTTGTGGACGCTTAAAATTGAATCCAAAGCGTATGGAACTTTTGTGACACATTTTCTTGATCTTTAAATGTTTTTTTCAATGGCAATGTAGGTTCATTTGGCCGACAATATTGGTTGATCCTCCGCTTGATGCTGCAATTATGACGGAAGAAATCTTTGGTCCTTTGCTTCCTGTTATCACGGTAAGAACATTGTCCCCCCGACTTATAAAATGAGCATATAGTAGTTTTTTTTTTTTTTTTTTTGACACTACAAATGTAAGTTTTGGATGCAGTTGGAAAGAATTGAAGAGAGTATTGAGTTCATAAGGGCACGGCCAAAGCCCCTTGCCCTGTATGCCTTTACGAAAAATGGAAATTTCCAAAAAGGATTGATATCCGAGACATCATCGGGAAGTGTTATGTTCAATGATGTCATCCTTCAAGTAATTAATTAATTAATTAATTATTCAACTTGTGACACCATTTTCTTATATAGATTAGCGAAATTAATGTGAAAAATTTATAAATGCAGTATGCAGTGGATACGCTACCGTTTGGTGGTGTAGGTGAAAGCGGGTTCGGAAGATACCATGGGAAATATTCGTTTGAAAATTTCAGCCACGAAAAGGTGGTGTTAACAAGGAGCTTTTTTATTGATTTCTGGTTCAGATATCCTCCGTGGGACGATAAAAAGTTACAGCTAATTAAGTCTGGTCTTAGATTTGATTATCTGGGATTTCTTCTCATTGCATTAGGTTTGAAAAGCAAGGCTTGATCAAGTATGAATATGGTCATTCAAATATCATGATCTGTTTTTCTAGTTTGCGACTACTCGTTTTTGTTTGTCATAAAAATGGGCCTCTATATGTCTTGGTGTTAAAAAGATGGCTATTTGGACTATTTGTGGAGTTGTAGATTTCTTTTTCTAACGAACTCGTTGGACCATGGTGTGTATGTAGCATGTATGTATAGCAATAGCATTAAGGAGTTGGGTTCAAATGAAAATAATGAACAAACAAAAGGAACATGATAATAGCACAATCACATTTGATTTTACACTAAAATCATGCGTAAAATTACATGTATTCATGCAACCTTGAGGTCGTGAGCCAAGTTGCTCGCACACCCTTGTGTTGACCGTGTTCTATAATCGCATGTGATGTTAGCGTAAAATCACATGTGGTTCGACTGTTCTTGTGTTCACTTATTTTGATTCTGACACTCTGTTCCCATCTGATTCTCCCTCTAACATCATAAAGTGTATGTAGTTTTATGCAGTCGATGCGATGTAGAATTTGTAGGGGTATTGTGGTCTTTCTGTCTAGGTATGGATGATGACTCAAAAGATAATGAAATTGAGGTTCCTAACACGAGAGATCTTTCAATCATAAAGAAACGTGAAGCTTAAATAGAAGTAATGCAAACTACAACCACTCCGTGTTCTTTATTTAACACAGAAGCTAATTAATAATCCAAGTACCATCAATTTTACTAAAACTATGATGCAAGGAAAGAAGGAAGGATTAAAATAACATATACTGCTCTAATACGATTGTAAAATAATGCGTAGAAAACAAATCACTCTCTTTTTTCTATGTTCACTTACAAAATCTTTTTGAATGTTTTGGAATATGAACAAGCACCTCCTTGTAACAAATGGGGCACGCCTGATACAGCAACAAACCAGTTTACGGTATCAGTTAAGAAAGAACAGGACACTATATTGTAAAAGCATTTTCAACATCTATGCTATAATAGAATGTTTGGTAATACAAAAGAGTTTTATGTTCAAACAGCTATACTATATTGTATGGTAAAATAGAAAAAAGAAAAAGAGAGAATATGAAAATCTCTAAAAATTTATATAAGAAAGAAATATTATTTTAATTATTTTCTATCAATAAGAGGTATTGAAAATAAAGGTTTTAAGACAGAGAAACAATATCTTATTAATAAATGTATTTAATATTTTAACGATATAGTTAATGATAAAATGGAGTAGCTATTGGAGTTGATGTAATTTTTTTTATAGAGATTTTTAACTTTTGGTACTTTGTTTTAGAAAAATGATATCATATCTATTGGAGATGCTCTAATAGCTTAGTGACTTTACCTTGTTGATTGTAAGCCATTGACTGCCACATCCAGCATGATAGATATGTTTGCAAGGAAGAGTGATCTGGCGTTCCCCTCGTTTATATTCCATCTGACAGATCACACACCTGCATCCAAATCCAATTTGGAATCATAAAGATAAGGAAAAAATTTATTGGTAAGTAGCAAAGAGGTATGCAACTAATTGTTGCAATTAAATAGTTCATTATTGTACAATCTGAAATCTTGGCTTTGATTTTTTTGCAGAAACTACTAAACTTCTGTTCAGTAATTGAAGGAGTTCCTAATGTGGTCATCAATGGCAAAACAGGGGCATGCTTGTTGCTTGATGAAGCCAAGTCCCAATGTAGAAATGCCTCGGGAGGGCTTCATTTAACATTCTACAAGGTCTAGTTTTTTTAATGAAATCAACAAAGATATTAGAGTCTGTCTAGATGTTGTGTCTCACCGAAGATCACCTATCGTGATACTTGAGCAAATTAGGAATATGCAAGTAACGTAGTTGTAAAGATCACTGCAGGCAACCATCTGAAAACCAATAGGCAAAATTGCCATGAGGTCATGTATATCTGAGTATGAAATAGATTATAACCAAGCGACTTGCAAAGGAGTTGGTCCCTTGATGACATGTACAAATTAGAAGGGTTGTGCCTAAAGGCTCAAGTGACTCTGATACTATGAAAAGATCCCTATCAGTTGGGGACAGTAGAATTAGCCTGTATGAATGATTTTAAGATGATTGTACTTACCTAATACCATTCCCATGGCTATATGGTCAATGGAGTGAGAATAAAGTGGACTTCTTAACTCCTATTTATTACCTCTCATTTCTTGATTTTTTTCTCCAGAAGAAGCCACTCTTGACCTTCGAAACAGGGAGCAGGGAAATAGCCTCCTTAGACAGACCACGACTTTGACTTCCAACAACCTCGCCTAACTCTAGCAGTTCCTGAAATTGAGATAGCATCGCTTGTATCAATCTTAAAGCCTCATTTCAACAAAGCGTCATCCCATAGTTCTTTCAACACATACACAAACACATGGGAAAGCAAATGCAGTTATTGAAGGTTAATCATATCAAACCTCATAAGTCATGTTGTCAGGATCAACATTGTCTTCCCACACCACCTGTAAAAATAATAGGCATGTAAGCTTGTTATGTACAGATAATTTTAGAAGAAAGAGTTGATTATCAAAGAGATTAGATAGAAAAGGCAACAAAAATATAATAAGAAAGCATTAGACCTGATAATCACCAGGATTCTGATTACTTTGTGGACCTGAAAGTTCGGATATGCAAAATTTTAGGTTGGGACTTTGTATATTTAAAATTATTGAGAATTACAAGTTCACAACAGATTATCCTGTGGCATTGTAGTCATCTTGGCACCACCTTCATGCACATATCTAAAATGTCATCTGTTTATTGACCTGAACATTCCCGGTTTGAAAGGTATTTGCATTCATTTGCCTCTACTTTGCAACAATATGGATTGTAAATAGTTTTCATTTGACAGGAAAATTAGTATAAGGACATTGTAAAAAGCAAAAGCATTCAATACTCACAGTCAGCAGGATCAGCATGGGACATCGAGCTTGATTGCCCATCTTGTTGCATACGTACAGCTGAATTTCTTTCATCAGCCATGGTTGAGGCGTTCTCCAATTGCCTAGTAAATCCACTGTTCCCGTATGTCTGATCATTGATTGCATAAGCATCACAATAATCATGGTACGAGAAACTCCCAGGTTCGGAGTATGCAGACTTGTATGCATTGGTATTCATTGTATATTGTGTGCTCTCCTGCCATGAACAAGTGATTAAGAAATATAGTTCCTCAAAATTGGTGTGAGGAAGGTATTAACATTATCTTCCAAGTTTAATACTTTCGCGATGTTGCAAGTGAAAGTTACAGTTAAATCACTTGGCAATTATTTCAATAAGATGTAGTGGCAAATCAAACAGTAAAAATCAGAAATTTCACCAATATAGATGCAGCCCAAGGTTGCAAAATACTTGTTTGTCCTGTTTTGGGAAGTTGATTACTAAGCAAATGTGTTTGTTCGTTATCAATCACAAACTACAGAATGTATAACAAAAAGTATGTAGATGATTTACCTGAGGGTATGTAACATCAGAAAAAATGAAATTGACATGCTCGTATGTAAGTCCTTCAAAGAAATCCATAAAGCTTCCACTCAAACTATAGGGTATGTCGCCTTCAGTTTGTAGGTGCCAGTTCATTCGTGAATACAACTTTATTGAACCAGAGTGCTATGCAGCAAGAGAGCATTGACATCAATTTTCCAGTATCCTTATCCCGCAATGACTGCAAGGGAGGCAAAACTCTGGTGAACTAGCAGATCAACTGAACTTGACGCAAATCCTACAAAAAGGAACAAAAACTACTAAACCCAAAATTGTGATGCACCTATGAACCCAGATCAATAGAAACGGGGATTAATTCAAATTATGTGAATTAGAATACTCTGCCACGTAGGTGTTAATCTTCTATAATCGGTTCAGCTCTCAATACTTACGACTTAAATAACATTATCAAGCACAAAGATAGAAAAGGTCTCCTCTAATTCACTTTTATAACAACATATCATGTGCTCAGATTCAAAGGAATTTAAAGTTGATAATAAATAAGATATTAATAAAAACCAAACGCAATAGCTAATCCAAATTTCCGGTTACTTCTTTTGCGATTGTTTGTTGCAGAAACTCCACGAAACACAATTGCTTGACACAATCACATGCATATAACAATTAACAACAACACAGAAAGTGAGACGTGGTACCAAGCAAAGCGTTTCCCTTTTTCACTCGGCAACAATACACAAATCAAGTTACCGATCAGAAACTTAGATCAAATATGATTATAATCAATGAATTATTCCATCACAATGCAACAAGAGAGAAGATATGAATAGAATAACAATTAAACAACATCAAATTATTCTTCAATGACGAGTATATTACCTACATTGATCGGTTCTTTTCCGGCGGCCATGAGAAGGTGTTCATCTCTCTTTCTTTGTATGTATGAAACTTTATATACAAAAGTGGTGTATGTATAGATATATATATATATATATATATATAGAGAGAGAGAGAGAGAGAGAGAGAGTGAGTGAGTGAAGCTTTCTCTCACTAAAACTCTTTTTATCTCTTTCCTCTATTCTCCTTCTCTCTGCAATCACTGTGTCTGTGTTGTGGGGTGGCGCCTTTTTGCAGGAAGTTGTTAACAGTAATGAGACACGCGATCTCCGTTACAGTGGGTGGGTTGTGATTCACTGCTTCGCGGAACAGGAATGTGGTAAAAAGAATGTTCAAGTCACTGCGCGGTGATTTATTCAAGATCACCTCCAATCACGTAACGAATTTAACATGTTCATAGACAAATTGAAAGATGACACGTGGTGATTCGTTTGTACTCTCTTTTCCACATGGATCGGTGGGCGCCCGGGTCCGAGATCCTGTGATCTGAGATATGACGGACACCCCTGTCGGTTTATCTTTCCTCGAAGTATTTTGTAATAATTTATTTCTTTTTCCGCCTATTTTATTTTCTTCCAAATTGTATTTGTACATACATACATAGTTTTATACATACATAGTTTTGGATAAAGGTTAAGAGGCGATGAGCCGCCTACCAATTTGGAGAGGAATCCTAGGATTAGTTGTACGAAAGGATGGACCACATGGGATGGGGAGCATCCCGACATTTGATGAATGGCGTTCACCAAATGCTCCACAATTTCCCACCAATTGTCACTCTATAGTTCAGCTACTACAACCACAATTTGATTTCAATTTGTTGTCTAATTTTAAAAATTTCATATTAAAATATTTTATAATATTATCATCTTAATATATTAAAAAAAATTATATAAAAAACTATTAAATTCCGCCAATCACTAAATTTAGTAGAAAATATCAATTAACACATAAAGTTGAAAAAGAAGACACACATGCAGTAATGAATAATGGCCTAGCGATGAAGGCATATAATGTTGGATATCACCAAACTCGTGATGATTATCCTAGCCGGTTGAAATGCTTTTTCTAGAAAAATTTAAGTTATATTAGTTGATTAGAAATGTTCCAAAAACGGACCATATATTTGGTTTTTTGGTGGTGCTACATTGAATTTAATAAATATAACCAATTTTTTTGAAGTTGTATTACTTATCAAATATTAAAAAGAAACTTTAAATTAATTACACTAATTTTTCAAAATTGGAATTTATAGGTAACCTTGATATAGAAACTAGCAAACTAATTGTCCAAATTGGGTTTTGTGGTCCCCGGTTTTTAGTAACAGCCCCGGTCCCCGGCGGATACAGGGATTAACATCATATCCCCGGTTTATTTTATGGTCAAACCTCGGTCAAATCTTGATTTTCGTCCTCGATCAAGACCTAATTTTAAAAATAAACAATATATATATATATATATATATACACATAAATTATATAAAATACATTAATAAAATTATATACCAGGTAAAAGAGGCAATCGGAGGGTACAATACCCCGCCCGGCCCCCAACCCTGGTTTGAGTCTACCATGGATCCCCGTCCCCGGGACCCGTTTTAGTGAGGAATCATCGTCCCCATTCAAATCGGGTGAGTCGGGTTCCCCACCGGGTCGATGTAAATCAACATCCTTGTGTCCACTAGAACATTCTTGCAATGTTTATTAATACACATCAATTAAAATAGCATAAAACAAACCAATAAATTTGTAACTATTCTATTAAAATAAGATGGTGATTTATTTATTGTTTCTGAAATCAGTGTAGATATAAATCTGATGGCATGTTATAATAGAAATATTTAAATTATACTTATAAAATTGTCATTATATACATGTAGGTATGTAGGAGGCATGTGGTCGAATTTGTTTCAGTAACTTATATAATTAATCCAAAGAAATTATTGATACTCATAATACACCTCTTTTAATATAAATATGTATTTATATAATAATTATGAGCAATCAAATCCATCAATTATTCTCTTAGCTTATCATAATAAATAATATGTTTGTTTGATTGGTAATTTAATCACAGTTAATGTTATTATGTACGTCATATACAGATAAAAACATTCAATAATCTCGTAAATGTTTGGAACACGTGTCATGTTCTCATTTGTTTCCCGCTTCATAACAGAAGTTAGGTTTGCAACTGAACATGCACCTACAATTATGGTAAACAATAAGTAGAAGTTTGATCATTTGAGAACTCCATAAATTGTGATAATCATGAGAACGTTTATCTTAAGGTATTGTTTCATATGATTTTTTTATCATCTAAAACTAACATTTAATATATGGATAAACATATATTTGTATCATGCTGTGTTTTGTTTCATTTGTATGTGATTCACAATATGAAACTTTTCTACATGTAACTTTTATTTTACAAATAAGCTAAAAAAGTTTAAATTAGAAAAAACATATTGTGAAAGGAATATATGTTAATCAGTATTCTAAATCTTAATCTTAGATGAAAAAAGTCATATGAAATATCAATGATACACTAGTTCTCAAGATTATCATAATTTTATGAGCTTTTAAAAGAATGTTTTGTAATAAATGAATATGTAATTGATACATGTTTTAATTTAGATATTTAATTGAAATTAAAAATAAAATAAAAAAAGGAAGCAAAGATTGGAAGGGAAGATAAGGGTGAAAGGAAAAAGGTGGGACATGGCACATGAAAAGAGAACAAAACCTAACGTGAAAGGGAAGAAAACAAGTGGAATCTCCTTCCCTTTTATACTAATCCTTCCTTTCCATCCAAAAATATAACAAAACAAATTAAGAATTTGGATCATACGAGACTAACTTGTTTTTATGAGACTCATGATACCACCTTTTTACATTTGAAACTTCACAGCAAAATGATGTGAATGTGACTTCTTTTAACCTTCACAGTGTTTTTGCTGTGAATGTTCAATTTTTTTTTAACCTTCACAGTGTTTTTGCTGTGAAGTTTCAAATGTAAAAATATGGTCTTACGGTTCTCACGAAAACAGGTTGGTCTCACGTGAACCCAACCCACCAAATTAAACCATATATTTCATTTCGATTTTGCCATTTTTATTCCATTTCAGTACGTGCATTTAGTGAAATAAACAACAAGGACCATTTTTTTAACACGTGAAGTCATTAGGTCTCGAGATGGGTTTTAAGCTTCTTCTTTTTATGGTTATAAAAAACAGATGCAAACACCAAGAAGACCAAACAAATGACGAAGATCTTCAATATGGTTTTCTTTGTATAAACGAAGTCTTTTCAAACCAACCCAATATGTCCCACCCAAAGTGGTTTGATATGACGTATGTAACCTGACATTTACCCTAAAGAGTAGTAAAATGAACTGATATCTACATCTTCAGAACCTTCAAGTTGATTTGTTAGATGAACCAAGCATTCAATTATTCTTTGATGTTGAGGGTGTGATTTGTCTCTAATAATGAACTCATAAACATTTCCATCAACCTCAATTGAACTGCAACCAGGAGTTTTGTCTACTCCTCTTTCCTTCATCAACTTCCTCACCTCCATAGACTTCCCAAACATCTTTGCTTCCCAATACATACTGGCTAATAGAACATAGATACCACCATCACTAGGATCCAATTCAAGAAGTTTCAAAGCTGCTCGTTCGCCCATCTCAACGTTCCCATGAATTCTACAACCGAAAAACAATGCTCCCCAGACACCATCATCTGCTTCGATTGGCATGTTCTTGATGAGCTCTTCGGCCTCTTCCAGTAACCCAGCCCTGCCCAGAAGGTCTACCATACAACAATAGTGTTTAGGTTTGGGAAAAATGTTGAATTTGGACCTCATTTGAGAGAAAATATTGCGACCCTCGTCTACCAAACCACCATGACAACAAGCAGATAGGACACCTAGAAATGTGACATCATCTGGGGTTAGACCGATCTTGATCATCTCCCAGAAATGCGATATGGCATCATGAGCATTGCCATGGTTGGCAAGACCAACTATTATGGCTGTCCAGGTTAAGGAATTTCGGATAGGGATTTCATCGAACACTTGGAGTGCCTTTGATATGTTACCACATTTGGCATACACGTCAACTAATGCGGTACCCAAAGCAACATTTATTGAAAGATTGTGTTTTGTTATGTAATGATGAATCCAAATTCCAAGATCGAGTGCTCCAAGTTGCGAGCATGCAGACAAGCAATAAACCATGGTCACCCCATCAGGTTTAATCTTCATAGCTTGCATTTCATGGAACACAGCCAATGCATCTTTAAAACGTCTGGCATGAATGTAACCACCAATCATGGCATTACATGGAACCACATCTTTTTCAGGCATTTCATCAAACAGTTTCTTTGCATCATCCACACAGCCGTGTTTACCATAACCAACGATCATGGTGGTCCAAGACACGATTGTTTTCTTAGCCATCTTGTCGAATAAGCTCTCTGCGGCGTCCATATTCCCACACTTTACATACATGTCCATTAAGGCATTACTAAGTGGAACCGTCATTTTTATTCGATTTTCTTCAACATATCGATGGAATTTCATCCCAAGATTCAAGTTTTCCAGCTGAGCACAAGAAGATATCATCCCTATCATGGTAACTTCATCTGGCTTAATCCCCTCCTGCTCCATCTGCCCGTACAATCTCAAGGTCTCCCATGGCCTCCCACTCCTAACATATCCATTAATAATTGAATTCCAAGACACCAAATCTCGCAGACAACTTTCATCGAACACTTTGTGTGCCTCGTCTAATTCTCCACATGACACAAAAACATGGATAACGGCATTGTTCACATACACATCAGATTCGAAACCCAAATGAATAACATGTGCAATAACCCCCAAACCCACCCGAACCAAAGACAATTTTGCACAACACTTGAGCAACAAGGGGTATGTATAATTATCTGGTCGTAACCCTTTGCTCCTTCTCAACATCTCCCTATACAAAAGAAAACTTTCTTTGGGGTTTTCGCTCTCGCTGTAACCCCTAATTGTTACATTCCATGAGAACACCGTTGGGTTCTGTAAATTGTTCAATATTCTTTTACAATAATCAAGATTTCTTGATTCTGAAATGGCACAAAAGGCAACTAATCGACTTGCAGCTAATCCATCTGAGATTAATCCCGTTATGATCATTTGCGTCTGGAGTTGTTTCATTTGAGTCATTGATCTGCATTTTTCTAGTAGACATAACAATGGGTTCGAGAGGATGAAAGAGTGAGTCGTGTTCCAGTTGGTGGGTTGCTCTTTATAAGGTAGGAGAGATCGAGTCTGGAAAGAGAAACCAAGGATGAAATTTGGGTAGGGTTTACGAGTACAATTAAGAGATCTCAAGATGAAGATGACCATCACAAATCATATAAGTTGCAGTTTTTGTATCGTAAGATTTTGCAAATTTGAAGGACGAATGCCCCATCATAACTCAAGGCTACTTTCTGCTACTTAAAAATATGGGTTCCAGTGATTTCAATGTAACCCATCCCTGCATAAAAAATCAAACACTTCTATTTCATATCGCAAAAGATAGAATGCTTTATATTTTAATATTCATTTGTTTTGTTTAATATGTTTATTAACAATTATTCTGCGAATTAATAACATGAAATAGCAACAGGGGTGATTGAGCCTAAAAACAACATATCATGATTTCGAGGTTGGCAATAGCTTTTAAAAATATATGTTCTCTGTCAAATACTTATCGGTAGACAATAGCTATTAAAAAAGAGTTGGAATGCAAGTGTGAG